AATTATACAGCCAGAAATAATCTTATGGATGTCAAAGATTTTTATTTTCATTAATCTTTTGTCTACTGGTTAAAATGGGTAATAGAGACAGAGAGAAGAATGTTTGGTAATATGGTTAAAACAAAAACTTCTCTTTGCTTTTCTTAATATTCTTGTCAAAACATATTATAATATGTGCATATGTGGTTTAATGATCTCCATTCCTTCTCATAAAGGGGAACACTAGCTAAGAAGATGTATATAAGAAGATATGGCTTAAACACTAATACAACTGTATTCTGCCTTCCCAGATTATTTCCATGTCTGACTGAAAGGTGGTTTGTGATGCAGTAATAAAAGGCAAACTTCCTGTGGAAGGATTGCATTGAAAAATTGCTAGCAGAAATGACCTTAGTGGGCAATATTTGGTATAAGGCAAGATATTCAGCAGCTAAGGCTCTGGAGCTAACTACCGGAGTCTGAATCCTCACTCCATCTATCACCCACCATCCATGATCTGAGGCAAATTTCTTAACCTCTGTAAAGCCCAGGGAGAATGTAATGATATCCACTTCACAGGATATCCACTTAATATCTACTTATAGAAGTGACGGAAGGTTAGATCAATATAGGAAGCTTAGAACAGTGCCTGGCACTAGTTAAGAACTTAGTGCTGTTATTAATGACATAGTTAAGGGTACTGTCCATCATTCTACAGAACTGTAGAAGTTTGAACTGTCAAAGGAGGCAGGTGATGCACTGAAATTCCTGGAGGCCTAATGTGTAATCACCATGATTTATGGTCAGGTCTTTGAGTTTATGAGCATGGCAATTTTATTATCTTAATATTTCAGAGACAATTGAGCTTCAGTGGATAAATCACAGTATCTAAACTCCCAAGAGACTACGACCTGGCTCTGGAATATCAATGATTAAGCATCAACTGAACATTTATGTTAGTTGGGTCAGCAGCTTCTCTCCCTAGTTAAGTGCTTCTGGGAATCTAACCCTGGTGAGTATTAAATGAGAGCAACACTCAATAGTAGAACCTGCTCCCTCACCTGGGTAACCAAACCCAGTTCTTTAGAAGACTGGGATGTCTCCTGGGGCTTGTATTTCCAGAACCTTCTTCATCAACCTCACAACTCAACTTTTAACTCTTTGTCAGAGACTGCCAAAACTGCCAGAGAGCTTTTTTTCTAGAAAGGAAGCATCATAGGCACTTATTTTTCAATCTTTCTCCTTCACCACAGATAAACCATGAATAAGAAATACAGTAGAAATTCATAAACACTACACATATAAAACCTGCGTAAGCAATTATCAACTTGTTTACCTTGCTCTACATGTTTGTTACCTTGACTCATGTTGTAAAGCAAACTGAGGCCAAACAAACTAGCTGTTTGGATTTTAACCTTCACACTTTTTAGCATATTTTAACTGCCATGTAGTCTCTACTAAAAGTTCTCACTACAGTGGTACAGTCTACTTCCTTCTGTATCTGTTCCTCTTTTCCTGTGTAATTGGTTCTTCATGATCTGAGACCAGTGATGTGGTCAATACTTTCCAATAAAAATTAAAAAAAAATTTATTTGGATTTACCAGCACCATAAGAATCATTTAGCTGTCATGATTTATGTACTTTTCACTGAGTTCAACTTTGTAACTTTGTGTTCTTTGGACTTGTGCTAATCCAGTAACGACTAGCCATATGTGATTATTTAAATTTAAACTTATAATAGTTACTTATGTTAATTAAACTTAACAATTAAAAATAAAAAATCAATTCCTTAGTCACATTAGTATACTTCAAGTGCTCAAGTGTCACATGTGGCTGTGACTGCCATATTGGAGAAGGCAGAATTAGCATTTCTGTCTCTAAAGTTATGTTGGATGGCACTATTCTAGACAATCTTGGCGTTTTTTTCCCCACAGACATATAAAAGTATCCCTATAAATCTATGGCCTCTCTAATTGACTGAGCTTAAAATTCAAAGCTTAGCCATAATGGTTCCCCTTTCTTTTTTTCTTTTTGTAAATAATTTTGGTTTATCATTTATTTTGCTCAGACTGTGAAATTATAACTTCACAACCAGCTTGTTGGTGACTGATTGTTTCTCACAGGAAAGCAGATGGGATATGTAATTACAACACAGTATTATTTATTTAGTTGTGTTAGAGCTATCATTTTATTCTCAGCGCCTTTTTAAATAAAAAATTACGATAATGCTGTAGGCTCTGTAGGAGAAACAAATGTCATGCCAAGTTTCCCCTCTCTGCCAGACATTGATATTTCCTCCTCCTTTGACGGCTCTTTAGTGTAAACACTCACAGTCTGTCTTCCCTTTAAGCTTCTCAGACACCATATTACCTTTTCCTTAACGAGGATGGTGAAATAATGAAGTGTTTTCTAAACCTTTGAAGAAGGATGAAAAATACATTCTATAGTTGTTGCTTAAATGTATTTTCATGCACTCTACTGCTTTGAGAATTGTAGTCATTCTTGGAGATCATGACATATCCATGTTTCAACATAGTATATTTATTCACATCTTTATACAATCAACTTTAAAAATATTGAAATGCCAGAGGGCTCTGAAGTGAGAGTTCTAAAATGGAAGGGAAATGTGTTGTGAATGGGGCTGATGGAGAAGGTAAACTACAAGGATGCTAGGGAAACTATCTTGAGTGGTAAAGCTGATCCAAGGCGGTGATTCTCAAGGGCTCAGTAAGGGAGCCAGGGGCCAGAGGCCAGGGGCCTTGTGAGGGTAGGATGGTAACTGTGAACTCTCTCCCCACAAAAATGCACAACAAAAGTTTTGCATTCAATTTCAGTGGGAGAATGTGTCCCTGGAGCAGCCCACTGATGGTTCCATTAATCCCTGAGAATCTTCTCTCCTTGTATCAACAGATAATTCACAGTTAAGGTACTTTAGGCCAGAATCATAAAAAAGAAGTATCCAGAGGCACTTTACAGATGTTTATTGAGTTTCCATACCCCAGATTTATTCTAGGTAATGGAGATAGAAAAGAACATAGTTCTTTGCCTGAAGAAATTAATTCATTTATTGGACCAATATTGTTCTACATCCTGGGCATATACATGAGAACAAAAAGTTCAGGCCTCAAGGCAGCATCCATTCTAGCGGAGGAAACAATCAATTAATAAATACTAATATAATTAAGGTTGTGATGAGATCCATAAAAAAAAAGTAGGATACAGGATGGAGAGTAATGGGATCTACATCACTATTAATAGGATCTACATCAGGTCGAGCTTTCAGAGTGGGGTCACATTTGAGAACGACTTAAATGGATTGAAGGAATCTGCTATGCCAATATTTGGGTGAGAGGACCCAGCTGATAATAATAACTAAGGCTCAATTTAGTATGTTTGAGGAATGCCTAGAGGTTGGTGTGCCTGGAGATTAGTAAGCAAGGAATTAGGAGGTGGGTCACCCAGGTGGTGGGGTGGTAGGATCATATGGGACCTTTTAGGCTATGTTATGGAAGTTGGATTTTTCCCCCCTAATGTGCAAAAAGGAATATCCACTGAAAAATTAGAAGTAGAGGAGAAGCAATAACTAAGCTATATTTAAAACAAAAAAAAGGTTAGATTCCACATGTGAGTAAATCATGTTACTTGTTTTTCTCTGACTGACTTATTTCACTTAGCATAGTGTTCTTTAGGTCGATCCATGCTGTCTCAAAGGGTAAAATTTTCTTCTTTTTTATGGCTGAGTAGTATTCCATTGTGTAAATGTACCTTAGTTGTTTTATCCACTTCTCTACTGGTGGGCACTTGGGCTGCTTCCAAATCTTGACTATTGTAAAAAGCACTGCAATGAACATAGTGGTGCATATATCCTCTTGAATTAGTGCTTTGGATTTCTTTGGGTAAGTTCCAAGAAATGGAATTGCTGGGTCAAAAGGCAGTTCCATTTTTAATTTTTTGAGTAACTCCAAATTGCTTTCCATAGTGGTTGCACTGATCTGCCAATGGTGCACAAGGGTTCCCTTTCGTACACATTCTCACCAACATGGTTTGTTGATTTATTGATGATGGCCATTCTGACAGGTGGTGAGGTGATATCTCATTGTGGTTTTAATTTGCATTTCTCTGATGATTACTGACATGAGCATCTTTCCATATGTCTTTCGGCCATCTGTATGTCATCTTTGGAAAAATGTCTATTTAGGTTCTTTGCCCACTTTTTAATGAGATTTTTTGTTTTTTTGGTGTTAAGTTTTATAAGGTATTTTTTAAATAAACAAGCTGAACTAATGAGCAAAATAGAGACAAACTCATAGGTAGAGAGCAGGCTTACAGCTCTGGGGGTGGAGGATGAAGGGGTGGAGGGATTAAGCAAAAAAGAAAAACAGAAAGACCTCCTGATCATGGACAACAGTGTGGTGATTGTGGGGGAGGTGGGAGGAAGGTATGTGGAGGTGCAAGAAGATATTGGGAAATAAATGGTGATGGGAAAAAATAAAATTTCTTTTAAAAAAACATTCTTGCTGCAATGTGAAAGAAGAGTGAAAACGGTGAGACCAATGCAGAGGCTGTTACAGTAGGAAAGCTAGGACTAGGGGTTAGATGTGGAGAAGGTGAGGCGTGGCCAGAGTGAGGACACAGGCTGATGGTATGTGTCCTTCTAAATTTGACAGAATTTGCTGATGGATTATGTGTGGGGTGTGAAAAAGAGAGGAGCTGAGATGTTTCAAGGTTCTTGGAGTAAACAACTGAGTAAATGATGGTAAAACATACTGAGATGAATAGGTAAAACAGTGCACTGTGTTAAGTGCTATTATAGAGAAATTCTGAGGAATATAGCTGTGGGGAAGAAAAGAAAGCTCGAGGACTTTTAATACCCAAACTATCATGAAAAAAAAACCAGTAGAAAATGTATCCAGAAAGATGGAGACCTGACTATTATATAAGCCATAAGCTTCTATAGTTTTAGGCATAATTTTATTACTTTAATTTTCTAGAAATAGAACTATCAAGGAGCGTAGGTGGCATGGGGACCCCTGATGATGACCTTAGTGAGAACTCTGCTGGGGACTCGAGGAGGGTGAAAGTCAGGTAGATGTTCACCAGGAGGTTAGGGGGAAAAAATGAAGAAAAATAAATAGTTCATAAGATATTTGACTGTGAAAGGGATGATTGGGCAAATGCAATGGAAGCAAATACTAGTGTTCATTTATGGTTTGGGTTTTCTATAATTGATTTGATGAAAAGAGAGAGGGACAAGGAGATCTGGGTTTGGCAGGAGTGTTATTAAAATAGTAGGTCATAAAACCTAAGTAGCATAAGAAGGGAGGAAATGAGAAAGCTGATGGAGTGAAAGTAGAGGCAGTAAATGGATGGGGATCCCAACGAAACTGAAGGATAGCTGTGGTGGGAGTAGCTGAATGATGAAGCTGGATCTTTCATCATATGCTGGTTGGCTACTAAGAAACCCTTGAAGTCTGAACCCTGTGGGTGCTAAGAAGGCAGAGTAGACTAAGAAGGCAAAGTGAGTAGGCAAAGAAAAATTGGTGGGAAACCAAGCGTAATAGCAGAAGACAAAGGTGAGTGATAGGTGGATGCCATTGAGTCGGAATCCAGTAGAAGACACAAAAGAAAAATTTAAAAAGTAATGAGAACATTTCTGCTTTTGAATAGGATAATAGTAGTGGTGGGTAGCGGTAGAGCATTTCTCTCACTATGACAACTATGAAAAGCAGATAGATTTTAAAATATCATAGAAGAGCCATAGAAAGGCAAATTTAAAAGACTGATAGTACCAAGTGTTGGTAAGGATGTGGAACTCTTATTCATAGTTGGTGGGTATGTAAATTGATAAAACTGCTTTAGGAAACTGTTCAACAGTAACTGTGAAAGGTAAATATATGTCTACCTTATGACTCATCAATTTTATTCCTCGGTATCTGCCCAAGATAAATGAAGGCATAGATCCACAAAAAAAAAACATGAATAAGAATATTCATTGCAGCTTTATTCATGGTAGCCTCAAACTGTAATAAAAGAAGACAGATTGGTGTATCCATACAATGGAATACCATATAGCCATAAAAAGTATGGCATAGTAATACAAAAATGTGAATGAATCTCAAGGACATCATGCCGATCTAAAGAAGGCAGGTGTGAGAGAGTGAATTTTGTGTGATTCCATTTCTATGAAGTTCAAGAACAGGAAAAACTAAATGATGATTTTAAAAGGCAGAATAATAGTTATCCTTCTGGGAGGGTTTTGGGGAAGGAGTGCAAGGAAATATTCAGGGGTGAGAGAAATGTTCTGTATCTTGGTCAGAGAGGTGTTGTATTCTGAAAGATCCAGTGGAAGAAATCTCAGCCACTGTGAAAAAAAAGAAAACAGAGTAGATTTTGCTTTGTACCCAATCTGACAATCTTAATGAAGTTTATATACCCTAGTAATGTTTATTTTGATTATTGACATATTTGATTTTATTCCTATTATTTTACAATAAGTTTTTGGTTTTTCTTTGCTATATTTTTATGCTGTATTTTTTGTATTTTATTTTTACCTGAGTTGAGCAACATTTTTTTTTGTTAACCCTTTTTTTTTTGTAATCTGGAACTTCTACTATTCATCTGCAGCCTTTAAATACACATATCTAAATCTATATTTTTTCTATCAATATAAAAATAGGTAATAACCAGGCAACAGTCCTATTCTCTTTACCAAAAAATATCTTTACCTGAGTTTTATTGAACAAACCTAGAACCTTGCTTTTTTTTTTTTAATATAACGTGTCATTATTACTTCAGGAATCCTTTTTTAAGAATTACGTTATGATTTATAACATCATTATCATTCCGTTTAACCACAATAAATATTTTACTGTATCAGTCTACCCCTACTGTTTTTATATTTTGTCCTCCCCAATTCTGGCTGGAATATTGCTAGTAATTTGAATATATAGGTGATATACCTGTTGAGTCTGTGAATATAAATCTCTAGTGTCATAATCCCTTTCCCTCTGAAAATTATTGACTCTCCTCAATAGAACGTTGGGTAAAGGGAGGGTTTAGGTCATTTGCTGAGACCTCATCTTTCCTTATCACTCAATTTTATTTCTGCTTTCTATTATGTATTTTCTGTTTAGTCAAGTTCTTATTTTATCATCATAAATACATTTATTTCTATTTTAAACCCTTCTAGTACTGTTTTCCTTTTAAAATATCTTTCTCCTTATTTCAACGTGCTCCATTTTATCAATTTTTCAAATCATATCTAAAATTCTACCACCTCCATGCATCTTTCTCCATTTACCCCAATTCATATTAATTCCCCTTCCTCATCACATTTATTATCTCTGCCATATATTTTGTACTTCCTAGAATTTTAGAATTTTATACCTGGAAGAGATCTAAGAGACATAACCCAACTCCCTAACTTTTCAGATTAAAAAAGATGTGGTCAGTAAGGCACATTTGTAACCCAGAGGACCCCAAGTCTTCTGGCCTTCTGGGGCTACCCTTTAATATCTAACTAAAATAGTTCTCAAGCCACAGTCCCCAAATACTCCCAGAAGCCCTCCCTTAAAAGTTCTGTGCATTTCCAGTCCTTGTGCCCTTCTGGTCAGTGTTGCAGCCGGTGCACTGGCCATCGCTCTGGGCTCTGCTGGAAGCCGGGTTGTTGTTTGTTTTTTGTTTTTCTCCCCTCATTGGTCACATCACTGGTAACCTAGAACTGCCACCAGCCTGGTGTATATGGCAGACTTTTACTGAAGATTTGTCTCTCGAAAAAGAGTCTAACAAGCTTAAGAATGAACAACATGACTTATGTAACTCCTATCGTTTCTAACACAAAGTTAGACATACACAAATGACGGCTTTAATTTGGATGTTAGACAATGCTGCCCTAAAAATCCAACAGCTATTTCTCCTCCACGGGGAATTTTTATCCCCGCCATGTCCTTTCAGGTCATTGCTTACTGCTATCTTCTCTGTCGTCTTCACTCTTCCAAGCTCATTCAATTATGTTTCCTTATTCAGAGTGCTCTATCTCTCCATCCTCTACCTATAACTGAACATTAATTTTTGTTATGTCCCAGAGCACAAGAAGCTACCCATTAAGGAAGGGCCAACACAAAGAACCAACTAAAGCTTTGAAATTCAATTCTTTTTTCTTTAACTTAAGCAGAACTCCTTCCTCTACCAGTCTCTAGAAATGGAAGAAAAAAATGTATAATTTATTTTCTCTTTGAGAAAGAAAGTCCACAGGAGTCATGAGTATGTTATTGTTCATTTCAGCTGCACATGAATTCTCAAGGTCTCTTCTGGATAATTCTCAGGATACAAGTCTTCTGAGAGTCCTATTTTGTCTTTTTCAAAAATCTTTGCTGATTTTTAAAAAATCTTTACCCATGATACGTTTATTGATTTTGGAGAGAGGGAGGAGGGGGGAGAGAGAGAGAAACATCAACTAGTTGCCTTCCCTATACACCCCAACTGTGGCTCAAACCTGCAGTCTAGGTATGTGCCCTGACTGGGGATTGAACCTGCAACATTTTGGTATATAGAATGATGCTCCAACCAACTGAGCCACAGGCCAGAGCCCTGTATTTCTCTTCGTATTGTATTAACATTTTGTCTGTTCCAAATTTTATCCAATTTTACATTTTTATATGTTGTTTTCTCTTGCTTTGAAATTGCTTTACATATGTAATTGCTGCTTTCCCAGAAAGAGTGTAGTGGTCAGAAAGTAGGTGCTGAGACTGTCAGGGTGTCCAATATATACAGGTACTCAAGGGTTCTTGTGTACTGATTAAGAATTATACTAATATATGTCATTTAATGAGTATCTATTATGTGTCAGACAGTGCTTTACATACATGATCTCTAATTCCCTCCTTAATTTATTATACCCATTACAGAAAAGGAGACTAAAATTTTAGTGGCTTCAGTAACTTGTCTGATTCCACATGGCTAAATTGAGAGACTAAGTCTGCTGGACTCCAAAACATTGTTCCACCATATTCCAGGTACTCCAAAGCTGTTGTGTTGATAGCTATCTCTGTATTAGTTGTTTTTTTTTAAATAAAAACTTTACAATGCACTTATTGGGCAGTGATCACAGTAAGTAGCCATTCATTTTTTAATGTGCTTTAAAAGCTCAAATGTGAATCTGAAATTTTTCTCTCTGCATTTCAGTTTGATCCATTAACAATTGAAAGCAAAAATGTAACAACTTTGGTGTTAATGATTAATTCTCCAGAAGAATTAATTTTGGCCAAAACATGTGAAGCCATTTATAAATTTGCTTTAAAAAATTTGACTTTCTCAGTTTATCTTTCTATTTGATTAGTTGCTTAAAATGTTTATTACATAAGGGGCACTTTTCTCCCTGGTCTTTAACTTACTTCCAGTCATATGAATTCTTTCAGACAAACAGATATCATTTAATGCATTACCTGAAAGTACTGTATCTCCCTAAGTGCCTAACATAATCTGAAGGAGTAATTTTGTCACTGGGTAGAAGAGTCATTTTGAAGATTTTATTGTAGTTTAAAAAATTGTAAATGTTGCAGGATCTGAAAGAGCTCCCAGTGGTAAAAGCCAAAACAATTAGAGCAACAAAATATAGTGGTATTGGATTATAATCCAAAGTAGAAAAGAAATATCCATGATTCTATACTTCAAGCAATAAATGATTAAGCAAATAAATGGGAGAGGAAAGACAGATTTCCCATGCAGAAGAATTCCCAATAACTTTATGTAGATGCTCTGCCCTCAAGAAGGCAAAACATACCTTTAGGTGTGGGCTGTGCACAGTGACTTCTTTCCAAAGACTACAATATGGAAATAGGGAAAAACTTAGTAAGTTTATAGTTGAGGAACTGACAAAACCACTTCAGCCAGGTGATCAAAATCAACATCAACAGTGATATGTCATGTTGATAATTTTGTAAATAAGTCAATGGCCTTGACACTACACTATACAATGAAATGGGACTTCTGCATTATTGTCCCCCCAAACCTGTAACCCCTGTCTAATTATAATTTAAAAAAATCAAATCCCATTCAGGGACATTCTACAAATACCTAGCCAGCAGTCCTCAACACTGTCACAGTTATCAAAATAAGGACAGCCTAGGAAACTCTCGCAGTGAAGAGGAGCTAAGGGTCAATGATGACAAGATGTCGTGGGAGGTGCTGCATAGAACCCTGGATGAAAAAAGAACATTAGGCTAAAACTAAGGAATCTGAATAAACTATTGATTTTAATTAATAATAATGTGTTGATAGTGGCTCATTATTTATAACAAATGTACCTACTAATATAAAATACTAATAACAGTAAACTTGGTGTGATATATGTGAGGACCCCTCATACTATCTTTGTACTAAAACTATTGTAAAAAATAAAGTTTGTTAAAACATTGTAAATGTTACAAATTAAAATCTATTAAGAGATTTATTCATAGAAGGTTTACAAACATAAAAGATGGTTACATTTTAGTTCATTCCGAATGGTGATAAAAATAGATTTTTATTATATTGCATAAATTTTAATTGGGACTATTTGAAGTGTTTAGTGTAACTTGGTATTTCTAACAAGAACTTTTAAACTAAGGAGCAATTTGATTTTAAAGAAATGATAACAAAACATTGGGGACTTGTATGAGAGAACAACAAAATATTTGGTTAGCAAATGGTAAAATATTCATCTCCCTGTGTCACTCTTGCCATCATTGGGAATCCAGACAAAAACCATAGTGGTTCTGGAAGGTATAGTTTATGCGTAGATTATGTAGAGTTCTGGTTCAATTTCAGGGAGATATTGGATTATGCATCTGTAGTAGCATAAGTCTCATTCAGGTTTGTAGAGTCATCACAAATCATCTGACTGTCTTATGTACCTAATTAAATACCATCTTTTTATGTGACATGTGATAAATAAATAAGTAGGGATGTTATTTTGTGTTTAATCAGTACAGAAGTTTTTGTAAGTCTGGCATTTTATACTAGCAGTATTTTCTGAAATAGTCTTTTAAGATAAATGATGGGACTTTGTCTTCTGGCCAAGATGGAGTAAGGAGCCAGATTCCCCCCCCCCCCAACCCCAGGCAACTGAAACAACGAGCAAAATAGACAAAATATATGAAGTAGCAGTTGGGAAAACATTGTTAGACAATGAAGGACAGAGACTGCTGAGAGGCAGGAGACAAAGGAAATAAGCCTTTTGACTTCCCGAGCTTATTGATTTCAGGGCGTTTCCAGGCCACAGCACAAGAAGGGGTAGCTTGTGCAGAGCCTATTGGACTCTTCGAATTGCAAAGGCAGAACTTAGAGTCCAGAGGGACAAAGACAGCTAGGGTTTTCAGGTTAGAGTAACAAAGAGGAAAGAGTTACACTGAGAGAGAACTCGAGATCTGCAAAGGGTCCCACTCACATATTCTCCTGAATACTGATCAGCATGTACATGTGAGAAAAGTATGTGAAGTCAGACAAAGAACCCAACAGGATTAGTGGCAATAGTGCCTGGGGCTCACCCAGGGCCAGAAGTAGTGCTTGTTCTCCGAGCCAGACTGTAAAACCTCGAGATGCGTGGACCTTTGTGCAGAATACACTGGGGTCTTGCCTCACTCCTTAGAAATAATTAGCCCTAGATTGAGCACTGTTCTGAAAGATCTAAAAGGACCAAATTGTTTCCAGAGAACTGTATCCCAGAACAAATTTCTAAAATACAAAAATATCCATTACCCACGTAGGTAAAATATGCAATGTCTGGCATCTAACAAAAAATTACCAGGCATCAAAAAGAAGCAGGAAAACAACCCATAATGAGGATATAAATCAATAAGTAAATCAAAAGTGACCCCCTATATATGTGACTGGAGTTTCTGAAAAAGGCACAAGACATAAAAAGTATTTTAAGAAATAATGACCAGAAATACCCCCAATATGATGAAACCTCCAAGTTCACTGATCCAAGAATCTCATCAAATCCCAAGCACAATGAACATGGAGAAAACTATACCAACTCACATCATAATCAAATTGCTTGAAACCAGTGATAAAGAGAAAACCTTAAAAGCAGCCAGAAAACAGCCCTGGCCTGTGTGTCTCAGTTGATGGAGAGTTGTCCCATGAACTGAAGGGTTGCAGGTTTCGATTCTCAGTCAGGGCACGTGCCTTGGTTGCAGGTTCATCCCTGGTTAGGATGTGTGTCGGGGGAGCTGATCAATATTTCTCTCCCACATTGATGTTTCTCTTTCTCTCCCTTCCTTCCCCTCTCTTTAAAATCAATGAGTGTGTCCTTGGATGAGGAGGAAAAAAGAAAAGCCAGAAAACAAATGTTACATTCAGAGGAACAAAGATAAGGATGACAGCAGATTTATCCCATTAATGATATAATCAAAAAGTCAGTGGAGTAACATCTTTAAAGTACTAAAAGAAAAATAAAAACTTTCAACCGAGAAAAATAGGAACTCAATAAAAATATTTTTCAAAAACCTGAAATAAAATCCTTTTTAGGCATTCAAAAGCTGAAGCAGTTCATTGCAGGCAGAGCCACACCACTAATCATGGCGCAGTAGGTAGTCCAGGCAAAAGCAAAATGACGCCAGATGAAAACGTAGACCTACACAAAGAATGCAGGCAGAGCGCCAGAAATAGTAATATGTGAGGTATTTTTCTTATTATTTAAATCATTTAAAAACTGGTTATTTTAAATAAAAATAATAATCATGTATTTGCAGTCTGAAACATATCTATAAGTTATATGACAACAACAGCACCAAGAGAGAAAGGGGAAAACGGAAGTACACTGTTGGAGGCTCTCGTACAACCACTTGAGAGCACACTGCTGTAGGTCATACATACTACAGACCCTAATACAGCCACTAAAATAACAGAACAAAGAATAATATCAAATAAGCCAAAGAAGGAAATGAAATAAAATCATAAGAAATATTTAGTTTACACTAAGAAGGGGAAAATAAAGAATAACGAAACACATAAAAACAAATGACAAGATGGAAGACCTAAATCTAATCATATCAAAAAATCAAATTAAATGTAAATGGTCTAAATACCTTAATTAACAGGGAAAGAGTGTTATATTGGATAAAAAGCAAGACCAAACTACATGCCACTATCAAGTAATGCACTTAGAATGTGACATGAATTATTTGAAAGTAAAAGGATGAAGAAATATCCCACGACAGCACCAATCAAAAGACAGATGGAGTAGCTAAATTAATATCATAAAAGTAGACAGAAAAGACAGTAGTAGAGGCAAAGGTCATTTTATAATTATAAAGAGATCAACTAATCAAGAGGCTCTGAAAAATCCAAAACAGTTATATACTTAATGCCAGACCTTCAAAATACGTGAAAATAAAATTCAAGGAGAAATAGATATCCACAGTTATAGTGGGGGATTTTGATGCCCCCCCCCAAATAAATGAAAGTATAAGTCAGTAGTATAAAGGCCTTAAGGATCTAAAAAACTGAAACAGCAGTACAAATTAATTTAACTTAATTGATGTTTACAGAGCACTCCAAAAACAGCAGTATATACATTCTTTTGAAATACGTAGAGAACATTTTTCAAAATAGACCATCTTTTGGGCCATAAAACAAGGCTTAATAAATTTAGAATTCCAATGATAAGAAATATGTTATACCACAATAGAATTAAATAATAAATTAATAACATGTAGAACTCAAGACCACTATGAAATATAAAGTAAATAACACACTTTTATGTGTGTTAATTCATTTTGTAATTAATTATGCAATTATGTAATAATGTCAGCATGTGACTGGCACTGGGCTAGGCACTGAGGATGTAAAAGATTAGAATGGCTATCTGTCCTCATGGCAAGTTAAGTTATAGCGGAGTAGACAAACAATGCATGGAGGTCATTAAGTGGTATGAAAAAAATAAAGCAGGGTAAGGAGAGATAAGGAAGACTTGGATGTGGTAATAACATTAGATAGGATTAGATAACCTCTTGAGAGGTGCAGGGTGAGCTAAGAACTGAATGACAATGCTAAGTGAAACAAATCAGTCAGAAAAAGTTAAGAATCATATGATTTCACTCATATATGGGATATAAAACAGAAACTCATAGGCCCAGACAGACAACGGTATAGTAGTTACCAGAGGGAAGGGAGTGGGAGGTAGTAAAGGGTAAAGGGGGCCAAATATATGGTGGCAGAATATGATTTGACTTCGGGCGGTGGGCACTCAATGCAATGTACAGATCATGTGTCATGTAAGTGTACACTTGCAACCTATGTGACTCCATTAACCCATGTCACCCCAATACCCTTAATTTTAAAAAAGAGGAAGCCAGCTCTGTAAACATCATGGAGGAGGCAGAGCAGCCAATGTCCATGTGCTCTAAAGTCTGCTCTGAGAGAAAGATGTGTGGCCACAGAGCAGTGTGGAAGGCAGGAGGCCAATATGAAACTGGAATAACACAAAGAAGTTTTGGTGAAATTGATGACACCCATGCATGATTTTATGTTACCTGTTATGTCAGGTGAGGAAAATGAAGCAACCCTCCTTGAACTTGGAGCTGTGGAAACTTTAAACTGCTCACCCATGAAGACAAAATTGTGAGAAGAAATGCTACTATGATCATTGGAATACTGGCTCCTAATAGTAAGTAGCAACTTTTTAAAATAAATCTCTTATAATGCTTTATCTTTCTTTTAAGTTTAATGTCAAAGGATTTATTTTAATTTTATTTAAGCTGACTTTAATATTAATGAAAAAGTTAAGTATGTTGTAACAAATATATGATTTCATATTTTAGGGAATATTTTTAAAATATAAAAATATGTGCAACTACTCTCTAACTTGGTGATGTAGTATGTTCTACTCTTACAAGTTGAGAGTAATCATTGTCTTTTAAAATAGAAATAATTTTTTTCTTGAGTTAAGATAATGTAATTTGTCTGCCTATATCTAAGTTACACTTCATATGTATTTTATAGGGAAGGAAGCCCAAGGTAAAGGGTTTTGATACATTTATTTTTTTGAAGCCACAAACTATATGTTGCCTAAAATAATTTAAACATGCATTTATTTCTTAAAATCCAGGTTTATTACTTGCTTGAATATTTGCATATATTTAATAGGGTAGAGTAATAGTATTAGTTAAAATACACTGGTATGTCTATTAGAATATCAGTTTTGACCCAAACCATGCAAATTAATGCATTCCCTGACTAATAATGAACAGGATAAGTTTTCCATTTGTTAGTCATTTTCATATTATATGGTTTTTGAATTAGCCAACAAAAGGTTTGTAATTTATAATAAAAAAATGATATTCTTGGTGGAGTCTGAATTCTAACATGAAACTCAGGCTGCTGGTAATAAACATGTCTCTATCACAGGGGTTGGCTAAAACCACCACACTTCTTCCCTTTAACATATTTTCCCCCAATGTCCTGCCTCCCTTCGCCTCACTTTCCCTGGACCCTGTGTGAGGCAGTGGGGTCTCCTTCGTCTGTGGTGCCCAGCAGCACTGTGGCATTCGTGTCTTCAGAGACAGTTATGAGCGAGGCTGGGGAGGGAAGGGGAAGGGGAGCCTTGGCTGGCATCTGCGCCTGGACCACCACAGCCGCAGAGACTGTACCGGCGGCACCCGCAGTGTCCGGGAAACCAGGCTCCCCTGGGGACTGTCGTGGAAGGGGCTCTGGCAGCGGCTGCAGGAGTGCTGCGCGGTGGCCGTGCTGGGTTCTGGGAGTATTTCTGTGGGTAAGAGCAGGATGAGGACAGTCGTGGGGGAGTGGGTGTTCCACCAACCGGGATTGCGATATCATCAGTTAGTACTTACGGAGTATTTACAATGTGCCAGGCGTTGTTCTACATGCTGTTTATGTGTTGAATCATTTAACGAGGTTGGTGCTATTACTATTTTCTTCACATATAGGCAGCTGAGGCACAGAGAAGTTAAATAAGGTAGTAATCATTTGTATTGCAGGGTCTTCGTAAATTTATCTCAGGGGTTGTCTGTATACTGATTCTGCCATATTGAAGGTGTTGTATTGACTGTATTTTTAGCCAAAGAAGAGAAAATTAAAAATTTTCTGATGTTTTATTCTGTTTATGCACCAAAGAATGTGAGAATCAATGGTGCTTTGTAACACATGTGTAACTCCTCATTTTAAAAGCAAGAAAGCAGCATGGAGTTACCCCAAAAATTAAAAGTGAACTGCCTTGTGACTCAACAATTCTGCTTCTGGGAATTAATCTGAAGAAACTTGAAACACTAATTTGAAAGAATATAAGCACCCTATATTCATTGCCGTGTTATTTACTAGCCAAGATTTGGAAGCAGCCCAACTTTCCATCAGTAGATGAATGGATAAAATAGCTATGGTATGTTTACACAATGGAATACTACTCGGCTGTAAAAAAGAAAAATTTTACCTTTAGTGACAGCATGGATGGACCTAAAGATCATTATGCTAAATGTAATAAGCCAGTCAAAGAAAGACAAATACCATATGATTTCATTCATATGTGGAATCTATTGATCAAATTGAACTAACAAGCAAAATAGAGACAAACTCATAGGGAGCAGGCTAACAGCTCTGGTTGAGGGGGATGGTTTGGTTAGAGGGTGGAAGGATCGAGAAAAAAGAAAAAGGATTTATGGACACAGGCAATAGTGTGATGATTGTGAGGGGGAAGGTGGTGAGTGGAGGTGGAAGAAAGTATAAGGGAGATAAATGATAATGGAAAAATACAACAAAAAATAAGCTTTTAACAATAATAATAATAGGAATTATCCCTAAAGGATTAGATTTCTGGGCCCAAAGTCACACAGGTGGTTATTAGCAGAATTTAGATTAGAGCCAGAATTGGAACTGTACTTTCTGACTCACAGTTTAGTAAACTTCTAACCACCAAATCATTTATGATCCTTAACATTAGTGTGCATTCTAGGTCAGGTTCTCCTTCTAAATGATATTGGGGGAGAATGTATCTCGTTTGGAAAGGAGAATTATAATTTCCTGTTTATACTTATATTTTCTAATTTAATGCCTAGGTCTCTATGATTTTTTTCCAGCTTACTTTGTTCTTCTATTTTTTCATTTTATTTCGTATTCCTATTTTCTAATATAAGAGAAGTTTATAATCTGTGAAGCCCTTCAAACTGGTTGCAAAATTTTTCTGAGCAGATTTATAAATTGAATTTCACACATTTTTAAAGAAGTCTGTGGGCCAAAACTGTAAAGAATTATTGCTACATTTGGGTACTAGATGAGATAACCCCCTTACACCTGCCAGACCATACTCGGTGAGTGGGCTGGGTTGTCTGTGGCCAGTGTGAAGAGAGTTTTGCTGCCTTCAAGGTCTTCACTGAGTGCTTGAGTCTCAGGTATGCTAAATGAACTTCTAAGAGCTTTCTTTAGATTCTATGATTTGGGTGAAAGAAAAAACCCAAAACACTTTTGAGATTAAATAATTTTCTGTTTGAACTATCTGAGAACATAGATAAACCACATGGTATCCTCAACTGCTTATGAAGTTCCTTTTTTGTTAAGAGAGCCAACCCATTAACACCTATTGCTTCACTTTTCACACATGTTCATGGAAACTTGGAACAAAGAATGAGCAACTGCTCATTTGGTCTAAATAAAAAGTCATGCTTCCAGAATAACCTGTAAGTAAATGCACCTCTGAAGCTACACTATTTATCATCTTTGGTCATTTAAAAAAATTGATGATGATTATTATTATTTTAGAGAAAGGGGAAGATGGGGAGAAAGAGAGGGAGAGAAACATTGATATGCATGAGAAACATTGACTGGCTGCCTCTCACATGCTCCCAACTGAGGGCCTGGCCCACCACTGAGGCATGTGCCCTGACCAGGAATCAAACTAGCAACTTCTTGGTTCACAGGCTGGCTGTCAATGCACTAAGCCACACAAGCCAGGACATCTTTGGTCATTCTTAAAAAAAAATTGCTGCTTCTTCAGAAATTTGCATTTTCATATGGTTTATATGCCTTCAATAATATCACTATGTTCATAGTGGATGAACCAACAGAATGTTCCAACAGAATTCCAGGTACTAAAAGGATTGCCATGAGAACCATCTTTCTCTTTGGCAGTTGCAAACAAATTCTTTCTCCTCCTCCCCCTCCTTCTAGAGTGGTTGAGCTAGGTGCCTATGCTAAGCCTGGGTCATTTGAGACAGACACTTAAATTACTTTGTTAAACATTTTTATCAAAATGAAGCTGTTGTCTTCTTTTACCTGACAGTTGTATTTAGTTCAATGAGGTCATATAACAGAGACTCATTTAATGGACTCAGTTAAAGAGAGATTTCATCAGGATCCTTGTGAGGAGAAGTAGCCTTTGAAGCCAAGACTTTACTTAAGGCAATCTGAAGATCTTAACATTGTAGGAAAAGGCTGATGTAAAAAAGTATACAAGGTCAAAGATAAGTTAGATGGTCAATATTATACAGCAAAAACATAAATAAGAGTGCAGTTAAAACAGATTACATAAAAGTATTGGGTTGGCCAAAAAACATTTTGTTTTTTTCATAAAATGGCTCTAGTAGTGCTTAGTTGTCTTTAACTTCATTTGAAACAATTTTGTTAAACTGTATTGTGACAATTGTCATATCAGTGTGTATTTAAAAGAAATCAAAATTGGTGATTTTTTTTTTGCAGCCATTCTAATACTGAAGATGGAAGAAGATACACAACAATTTTGGAGTATTATGCTTTATTATTTCAAGAAACGTAAAAACTCAACTGAAATGCAAAAAAAGATTTGTGTAGTGTATGGAGAAGGTGCTGTGACAGATTGAATGTGTCAAAAGTAGTTTGCAAAGTTTCTTGGTACTATTGATATTTTGGCCAAATAATGATTTTCTGTGGGGCTGTCTTATGCATTGGGAGATGTTTAGCAGCACCCCATCCTCTAACCATTAGAAGCCAATAGTGAGAGACAGCCAACAAGCTCAAAATATCCAAATCAATAAAGTTATTGGTAAAAATGAAAAATGTGTCTTTTATTTTATGGAAAAAAACTAAATGGACTTTTTGGTCAACCCAATACTCCAGGAAGTAAGGTGCTGGCAGTTTTGCAAGAACCTAAAATTGAAGGTGTCATACTGTTTAGCTAGAACATGTTCATGTGACCCAATTACAAGAGGAGTTTCCATTCAGTAGCCATATCTGAGAGTGTTCTCTGTTGAGAAAGAGGGGGACAGAGATAAACATTGTGTTTAAAGTGATGGAAGTAGCAGCTTATCCATTATTTTTACTGAGTTAACCTCAAAAAAGATTCTTTGAATAATCTGGTGTCAAAAAGAAGAATAAGAAATTGATCAATGGTGCCATCAATTTACAAGTGCTGCCACTGAATCTGAATTGTCCAATGAGCCATAGGGAAATGATTTAGTGGATGGATCTACGAGATCTGTTGTTGACACATTTGGGCTAAATTCATGTCTAGAAGGGAATTTCATGGCACAGAGAATCCTCTGAAGAAAACTTTTAACTTGTTTGAGCAGACCAAGGCGTGGTGCCGCATACAGTGCCGCATGGGGGCCTCTCCCTGGGGGAGCAGATCCTCCCTGCAGAGAAGTAAGAGGAGCAGAGAGTACGTACCCAGAGTGTGAATCTTCACTTCACAGACAGTGATGCAGCAGAAACTTTGAACTATACAGAAGGCTATTTTGTGTGGTATATGGTGAATGTACTTGGAGATCTAAAAGCCCAGAGATACTTTTCTTCCAGCATGTAAAAACAGGAGACTTCGATGAGGCCTTCACAAAAATCATTCCAAGCAGTACACACTGGACTCAGAAGAGAAGAGAATACCAACGAATTCTTCCAGAGGGTGCACATCTCTACAGTTCACTGGAACACTCGGAAGGATCTGAGTATTGTGAAAGACTATTATTTCTTAACCTGTGGAGGTAATGTATTTATTATAAATGAGTTTCAACTATAAAATAATATCCTCCACCTTAGGACAAAACACTTCCCAGAAGCTCAATTATTCTTTTGTACTTCAAGCCTATTCGCATACATACAGCTGGCTATAATTTTGCTGGCTCTTATTTAGCCATTTTGAACAGAAACCGACAGGTTGAAGAATAGCCGCATCTCTGAATCCCAAAGGAAAAGGTGTCTAATAAAAGACAAGGATATCCAGCAATTAATATGGAAGAATTCATCTAGAATTCATCTGTTTCAGTTGCTGCAAAGTGAAATTTTCCAAAATTCTGATAATGTTAATTTTGGCTTACAGACCACGATAATTGACCAAAAAGAAAAATCACAATACTAAAGTAGCAGCTATACTTTATGTCTCAGAAAAAGGGGGGTTAAGGATTGCAAAAAGGAAGTAGGAACATACTTGTCTACCCTTAATTAAGCTCATGTAAAGAATACAAAGGTGAACCTTTAAAAAATCAATATACTTATCTTTAAGTATTTTTGTCATATATGATAATAAAATAAAATGAAAACAAGATGTATTGTCCTGACTTGTGTGGCTCAGTTGGCTGAGCATTGTCCCGCAAATAGAAAGGTCACCAGTGTGATTCCCAGTCAGGACATATTACCAGGGTTGCAGGTTCGGTAGGGGGTGTGCAAGAGGCAACTTGTCTATGTTTCCGTCTTACACCAATGTTCCCCCCCCTTCTCCTTCCCTTCCCCCCTCTCTAAAAAAAATAAAATAAAATCTTTTTTTAAAAAACCAAGATGTGTCCATCTAAACAAAGCTGTGGATCATTTTTATGTGTATTCTGTATAAATTTTCTTGAAATCAAGATTTTAAAACATCATCCCAACAAAACAAAAAAAGAATTGCTATTATATAATAAACAAGTGTAGGGCACAATAACTCGAATTTGTTGGTATTTGTTCTAGGCCCCTTTTTGTAGTTTTATGCTTTTTTTTTTTCCTGGAGTTTTGGAAGGCAGTATATAGTTCAGTGATCGAGGAGCAGAGGTTAGAGTCTGTCTGGCGTCGGACCTGGGCATGAAACCTGGCCCCACTGTTTCCTTGCACTGTGGTTTTGAGCCTCAATTTCCTTATCTGTGAAATTAAATAATAATGGAACATATCTTCTATGGGACTATTCAACAGGCATGAACATTGTTATTATTATTATTAATAAGTATTAATATTTTGTTTCTTCTGTTGTAGATGATGTTAAAAAATTGTTACGAGAATTAGATGTCATGAATTCTGTTACTGCTCGGTTTGCTCCAGAAGGTAAATTGGCATCTTATATGTATTTTTAAAAATGGGACTGGTGTATTTTTCACATTTGATTATGCTACTAGTGAAAATAGTTTATGGAATACCAATTGTGAATGTCATTAAAATCTCTCAAACCAAGGTAGGCTCCAACCAAGGTAAGATTTGTAGAACTTTAGTTTTCAAAATATGCTTTAAAGTAACGGTTGGATAGGCATTTAGCATAGTTGTGTTATTTATTTTTGATATGCAGAAGTAGTTACCCATGAGTTTGCTAGTCTTTGCCTAGCAAACATGTCTGCAGAGTACATCAGCAAAGTGCAACTACTTGAACACGGTGGATTAAAGCCTCTCATCAGATTGCTGAGCAGCCCAGACCCCGATTTGAAGAATTCTACTGAATGCATTTACCACTTGCTCCAGGTAAGATTAATTCCTAAAAATGTGTTTTGACCAAAGCTGATTATAGAATTTGCTTTCCTGTTAGAAAAAGAAAAAGCTTAAAAACTCACCAGTTTTGATTAATCAATTATTTTTGGTACTATTTAGTAGTAATATTGCAGAGATAAAATAAAGAAAGTTTAGTGTAAGTTTTTTTCAGTTTTCACATTTTGTAAGTATTTGTCTCCCATGAAAGGACATTTTAGAAATGTATTTAAATTTTAAAAGAATAGAATGGTTTACAAATTAAGGTGGGATTATTCCAGATAAAATGTATTTCTTCTGAAACAGGGAATCTAATATTCACATTGAACTAGGTTTAACAAGGGAAATTACCTATTGATCTAACCTTGGTGACCTAAGCACATTGGATATAACATATGCCCTAGTCAGTGTACCAAGATTTTGAAACAGACTTATGTATTGGTGAAAGCCTAGTGAGTATGCTGGACAGAACTCATTGTTCACAATCGTTAAGAGGTGACCTCACTATGCTGCTTTCTTTTGTAATGGAAACTGACCACCTTCTCCTCCTTAATCTGTTTTGTTTTCCCTTGTCCCCACCACTGCCCCACCTCCCAACCCAACATTCACACCGTCCCACCCACAGCAGGTCAGCTCCCTGACACTATGGACAGTCATCTCTGCCTCTTTTCCTGCTCAGGTTCCCAAACAACTTCCATGCATATTTGTTCAACTTTAGACCAATTGAAATTATGAAAACACCACTGTAAGCGGCCAGCAGTAGAGTGTGAAAGGAAGACATAACGAAGCAGAGGTGAGAGAGGGTTCACTGAGAGGCAAACTGTCTAGACAAATCATGTAGACAAAGAGAGACCTATATGCTCATGCCAAAGGCAGCAAAAGCACACATTCCTGGCCTTAGCAGTTCTTGCCACTTGCCTGGCACTGCCTGGCTTTACCCTTACTCCTCCCCACAAAAGACATCCTGAAGAACCAGCTCGGCTTTGCTTCCCTTTTCTGGTTATTTAAGGCTTAGCCTCATCCAATAGGCCAAAGTAGTCCTCCAAGCACATTTGTGTTTTACATCCTCAAAACTCTTCACAGTTTTATTTTTCTATTTTTTTTTTAATCAAACAAATGAAAAGGCTTTACCTCCACTATTCTTTATAACAGAAGTACTAGTTAATAACGGTGCATTAATTTCCTAGGACCACAAACTAGGTGGCTTCAAACAACAGGAGTTTATTCCGGAACGGCTGTGGAGGCTGGAAGTCTGGCATCAAGGACATCAAGACGTCAGCAGGGCCACGCCTCCCCAGTGACTCAGAGCCGTTCCTTGCCTCTTCTCAGCCTGACGGTGGCCATCACTCCTTGGGGTCGCTTGGTTTGCAGCTGTCGCACTGCAATCTCTCTGTCATTTCCCTTTCTTTTTATAAAGATACCGATTTTATAAGGACACTATTGAGTACCCACCCTACTCCATGATGACCTTAGTTACATCCGCAATGACCCTGTTTCCAAATAAGGTCGCATTTTGAGGCACTGAGCGTTAGGACTTCAACCTATATTTGGGAGGATACAATTCAACCCAAAACAAACAAAAACCTAAATTTTTTATGTCTGAAGGATGCTGAATATTGGCAGTTGAAGGATGGATAGAGGAAAGTTAAGGTGTAAGTGGAGCCTTTTCCACATTTAATAGTATTTTACATTTACCACATTTTCAATTAAAATGTCAGAGTATGGGAGCTTTTTGTGGCATTTTGTCTTGTTTTTTCCATTGCTCAGTCCAACCAACCCCTCCCCCCACTAACTCACACAGTGACACACAGTGGACACACAGCGGAGAGCAAATTGTCTAGACTCTAATGACCCCTTGATATTGTAAATGTCTTAAGTAAAGGTCATGTGTCTGAACTAAGCTTGATGTGAATTTCCATGCACAGGGCCTGCTAATAGCGCTGCATGCATAGGAGCATTTCATAAACAATCCATTGAGGATAATAAGGAACTGATGCCATCATTTCATTTTATCAAATACTATTTGAAACAGGACAGAGAGTATGAAAAGAATTTCATTATGCATAGCTTTTGTTGTAATACCATTTGTAGTAATAAGAGTCTGCTGTATAATAAAGAAACAATAGATACTGCAAAAGTCATAGATCATGTTTATTTCCTATTACTGACAATGAATATTTTGGTGTTGTCAATTGAGAGTTTGCTTACTTTTATTTGTGAGTTATTTTGGAGGGGATCCTGGAATAAAAGATTTGAAAATCATAACTTAGAATATTCTTTGTTAGAAAATAGAAGTTCTCCATTCTTGAGGCTATATTTTGTTTTAAAAATTGTCTATTTGATCATTTGTATTTCATGGCAGGATTTTCAGTGTCGAGCCACACTTTAAGAACTAAATGCAATCCCTTCTATATTAGAGCTCTTGAAGTCAGAATATCCAATTATTCAGTTGTTGGCTCTCAAAGCCTTAGATGTCATTACGTATGCTAAGGGCTCCCAAGCAATGGTATAAGACAACCAAGGAATAGAACACCTTACTAAGATCCTGGCAACTAAGGTATTTATAACATTTATTCAGCTGTCTATGAGAATATGTATCTCTCTTAAATATAGTTATAAAATGTGAATTGTAGAATATTTTTAAAATGAAATTTTATTATGTTTAAGCATGGTAGTATGTAGAGTGGAATAATTTGCTTGTTGCTACATAGTTTATCAGCATGATTAAATCAGACTAATGGTAGGCCATTATAAAATAATTTTTTAAATCCTTTGGAAGGTTTCTCAAAAAATTAAAAGTAGAACTACCATATGACCCAGCAGTTCCACTTCTAGGTATTTATCTAAAGAAAATGAAAACACTTACTCAGAAAGATGTATGTACATCTGTGTTAATTTATATATATTTTTATATATAATTTTCCATAGCATTCCATATATACATATGCTATAGAATATTATTCAGCCATAAAATAAGAATGAAATCTTACCATTTGCAACAACATGGTTGGACCTGGAGGGTATTATACTGTACGAAATAAGTCAGATAGATAAAGACAAATGCCATATGATCTCACTTATATGAGGATTCTATAAAAAACAAAACAAGAAAACCAAGCTCATACAAAAAACAGAATGGCAATTGCCAGAGGTGGGGGATGGGCAAAAAGGGTGAAGGGGTCCAAAAGATATAAATTTCCAGTTTTGAAATAAATACATCATGGGAATGTAATGTACAGCATAGTGACTATAGTTAATAATACTGTACTGCATATTTGAAAGTAGCTAAAAGATCTTAAAAGTTATCACAGGAAAAAAAAATTTGTAATCGTGTAAGGGGATGCACGTTGACTAGACTTATGGTGGTGATATTTGTAATATACACAAATATTGTACACTTGAAACTAATATAATGTTAATATGTCAATTATATCTTAATTAAAATCTCCTGGTTTAGAAGATTTAAGATTGTTAAATTATATTTTATGATCTTCTTCATGAATTCCTAAAATGGCTAAATTAGTTTTTTAATCTTTGTCTGCTATAGTTTTCTCTAGGGTAAAGCAAGAAGAATAATTTATCCCTCATTATGGATGGTAATCTTGCTTTACTCAGTCTACTGACTTAAATATTAATTTCATCTAAATAATCAAATTTTTAGGTCTAGAATGTTTGGTCAAATATCTGTATACTATGGCCTAGCCAAGTTAAAACACAAATTAACCATCACAAGTGCACTCTTGCCAATTTGGCACCAGTACACATCTTCTTAAATCATACTTAATCTCTAAATAAAGACAATGACAAGATCCTACTTTTGCCAAATATGATACGAATATCGTGTGTACAACTGAAAGTGCTCTGACACTTTCCCCAGAATAGGATGCAAAGTCCTTGGATGAGGATTACTCTTCTCCTTGATATCCCATAACTTAAATACTATGATGTAAAATTAACAATACTTAAATATTAGTTCATAAAGTCATACATCTTATGTTATATAAGGGAAGAAGAGAAGAAAGACATCAAAGATGTTCTATATACACACATATTCATAACAAAATAAGGAAGAAATATTCATGACAATTGCAACCTCTTCTCTATAACTGATCGTGTGGTCATACTTGGTGTTTATAACTACCTTCTCCCATATTCCCTTTGCCCTCAGCAAGTACCTCAGCTCATCTTAGTTCTTTGCCAGTGGAGGGACCCAAATACCATTCCTGAAGGGCCTGACCATTAGCAGCCTGCCTGGGTCAGTTACTACAGCTTTACATCTACTTTTATCACAAGACATGATAATACTTGGAGACACCCTAAGGGATCTCCTGTTTTCTAGATAAACACTTTCTTACTTCTGTTGTGGAGCAGCATCCGATTTCCCCTTGATGGTAGAGGTCAATCATCCCGGCCAGCACAGAAACTCCCTCCTTTGCCTGTTGATTTAGAGGCATAAGGAACCCAAGGTGGCCAGGTGGCGATCTTTTCTTTCTGTGTCTCCTGTGGACGCATTCCTCTCTTTAGAACTAAGACCTCTAGGTCAGCAGAGAATAAGGCTACAGAGACAGGAAGCAAAAATTTTGTTAGTGGGTCACTGGAGGTAGTAATAAGTGGTGTCACTCTCATTTCCACCCCTTGATTCCTGGGCCCATGAACCCTGGCTGTGGGAGAAAAGGCACCACATATTATGTGCTGATTCGGAACCTGTGTAGTCTTCTGGGGAACCTGGTCCCAGGCCTACAAGGTATTGTCACCCAGCCAGCCCTGTAACTCAATCATAAAGAGGCCATTCTATGAAGCCAGCTGCTTTAGGGTGATGGACACCAGGGTAAGGCCAGTGAACTCCGTGAGTGTGGGCCCACTGCCGCACTTCCTTTGCTGTGAAGAGAACTCCTCCCCCAGAAGCAGCGCTGGGTGGAATACCATGACGGTGGTGCAGCCTTTCTGCATTTCTCTCCCTTTAAGGATGCCCACCTTAGATTTCTAGCTCAGGTAAGGCTGCAGTTTTCCACTGCTGTGAGGATTTGGGAGATTCCTCAGGCAAGAAAGCCACACGCTCACAATACTTCCCTCTACCAGTTGGAGATTTGAAGGAAAATACACTTTCTTCTGTCTGTTGTTTCAAAAAGTATTTTCTTCCAATTTTAAAATTGTTGTTGGTAGAAGGCTTTATAAGCACCTTCACTTGGATACCATCGCTGGAAGTTTTCAGTAATTATTTTTATCTGCAAAACACTTTGAACTAGGGGAAAATGAGAAAGGATGGGGCAAATGGTTAGGGAAAGTGATGATATGTTAATAAACAGAACTGTTTCCCTGGGCCTCTGTCCCAACAAAATGGATTACATTATGTTCTGAGTGACGTTAGTCCTTGTGTAAATGTGGAATGTATACATTTCTTTTAGTACAACTTTCTAGCGGTGTGTTTCCTTTTATTATTAGGAACTGAATGATTTTTATATAGAACTGCTTTCAGTGATAGCCATTGCCTTGTATATACAGATACTACAGAGCTGATTCAACAGACAGGGGTTTTTAAGAAACTCTTGGCATTTGCAGAAACCTTTACAGTTTCTGATATTCAGAAGACTGCAGCCTAAGCAATTACTATAGCAGCATATGATCATATATCTTAATTTATATAGATTAAGCATACATACTTCCTCTGTACTCTTGATTTTGATTAGTTCTAACAAACATGAGAGTATTTGTGTGTTTTTAAATGACCATTTGAGAATAATACTGTACTCACTATTTTAGGCCAAAATTCATCTCAATCCAGTGAGTTAAAGTACAGATTGCTTTGTCAAGGTTGTAGTAAACTGAATATGATTTAATTATAGACCTTTTTCAAATGATTAAATCCTAAATTAAGTTTTAAGCCTTTATTTCTCTTGATTTTTGGAATTATGCAGAATATGTGCATTGCTTATGATCCTGAAAACACCATTTCAATAAATCCATGTTTGGAATGGTATCTATATAATAAGTTCAAATTTCAGCTGGAGTCTACAGCGCCATGCTGTAGAGATGTGAAAAATAATACGCTCCAGCTATATATGTAATACAATGTCATTCAGGGGCAAGCTAGGTTGACATAAATCTGTAAAATATGAGAGATTAATTATATCACAAGCACTGAAGATAGAATTACAGTTTTAATTTGTGTATATTTGGAGTATATGATTTAGTAAAAGGTGTGACTTTATCTTCCAACTTCCACATCACTCATCATATAAATGATAACTTTGACTAGTTTAAGTGACTTATATTCTAAACATATATACTCATATCTGTATATATGTCTATGTATATATTTTGGGAAACATTTCCTTTTCAACCCATACTGGATTTCTTCAAGAAAAAGCTTTAATGCAGTAAGCCAAATTTCACCGTCCAGTACATAGTTGATATGGAATGGACTTTTGAGTTACATTATACGCATCCTATCTAAAAATAGGCTATAAAATCAAGGTTTTTACTATTGGCAAAAGTTGGCTGATTTAGTATTCTGTCAAATGAAACTGGATCTTATCATATCCAGTCAGTTCTGTCTTCTATCTGTCACAGACTTTAGCTATTTGAGACCCAAAGACAGGGCAGGGGGAAGACAGGGACAATGTCACTCCTAAAATTTTCGCATATCTCCACTTCTCTTTGGATTAGTTGGCTGGGCCGTTCAAAGATTGTCTTGGCCCCTCTGGGGTGGTGAGTTTCATGAGCCTGTCACCCATATTGAGGCACAGTAGTGGCAGAGCACTGCACGGAGAGTGCCTGGTGTTTTAGTCCCACTACTAATTCCACTATTGGCACTGCGCTGACCTTGGTGTGCGACTATGAGTGAACTACAGCCTCTCTGGACATATTTATTAATGTATTTATTAATGGTTATTGAGCTACCCCTTGGTGTCAATAAAGCCAGAACAGGCAAGTAAACATGCAATTACAATGCAATGTGAAATGTGATGATGGAAGAATGAGGTCGCCCAAGAGGGTCACCTAATGCAGACTTGGATCAGACAAGTCTTCCTGAAATAGGAAGGGCCTGCCTAGGCTAGAACCTAGAGCAAATAATAGAAATGGGCTGGGCAAAGGAGGCCCTGGTGGAATGGGGGAGGATCAGCAGTGCTCTGAAGTGAAGGAACAGTGTGTGTAGAGGCCAGAGAGGGGCAGAGCATGGTTAGTTGCAGAACTGAAAGTTTTCAGAGTGGCTAGTGAATAGGATGCAGCAGAAAACTGAGAGTTAAGGTTGTAGGAGTGATGGGAAGTCAAATGTTCATGAGTGTTATAAACCAAGGTAACGACTTTGAACTTTATCTTTATAGCAAAAAAGAGTTTTGAATTTACTTAGAGAGAGGAGAGGTCATTACAGATTTTCACTTTTATAGAAAAAGCACTTTTGTTGCAAAGTGGAGAAGAGATTGGAGCTGTGCAGGGCCAGCCAACAAAGCAGCAAGCGGGTTGCTGGGGTGATGTAAGTGAGAGGCGAAGGTGTCCTGAAACAGATGTGGTGCTTGGGAGGGACTCAGAGGCCGAAGAATCACCAGCACAGCACTTGGCACACTGGAAGGTCCTTAGCTGTTTGTTGAGTGGCTACATGCATTGGGGAGGGAGGAGGTGAAATCTAGGACAAGGCCTGGTTTCTGGCTTGGAAGGCAAGAAGTAGAATGGTGCCACTCACAGAAATAGGAACTTTAACAAGGAAACAGGTTTTGATTGAAGGAAAGGGAATGAGGTTTATTCTTTTCTTTTTAAAGATTTATTCTTATTTTTTAGAAAGAGAGGAAGGGAGGGAGAAAGAGAGGGAGAGAAACATTGATGTACGAGAGAAACATCAATCAGCGGCCTCCTGCACACCTCCAACCGGGGAACTGGCTGGTAACCCAGGCATGCGCCCTGACTGGGAATCAAACTGGCAACCTTTTGTTTTGCAGACTGGTGCCCACTCATTAAGCCACACCAGACAGGGTTTATTCTTTTTTTAAATCGTGGTAAAATATACATAATATGAAATTTATCATCTAAATCATGTAAGTAACCAATAAGTAAATTCACTTAATTACTTAGTAAATTCGTACTGCTGGGCCGTCATCACCACCATTCATCTACAGAACTCTCTTCATCTTGCAAAACTGACACCCCATACCTGTTAAACGAAAAAAGTACCACTTTCCCCTCTCTGGAGTCCCCGGCAGCTACCATGCTTGTTGTCTCTGATTTTGACTATTCTAAGTACTTATATAAGTGGAATTCTATAATAATTGTTCTTTTTTGACTGGCTTATTTAACTTAGCATGATTTCTCAAGGCTTAACCATGTTATAGCATGTGTCAGAATTTCCTTCCTTTTTAAGGCTGAATAATATTCTATTGTATGTATGGACCACATTTTGTTGATCCATTCATTCATTCATGGACATCCGGGTTGCTTCTACCTTCTGGGTATTGTGAGTAATGCTATTATGAATATGGATGTACAAATATTTATTCAAGTCCCTGTTTTCAATTCTTTGGGGTATATATCCAGAAATGGAATTGCTAGATCATATGGTAATTCTATGTTGAGTATTTTGAGGAATTGCCATGCTGTTTTCCGTAGTGGCCACACTATTTTACATTTCCATCAGGAGGGCACATGGGTTCCAGTTTGTCCACTTCTCACCAACATTTTTTTTCAATATTTTATTTTTTATTGAATTTGTTCAGGTAACATTGGTTAATAAAATTATATAGGTTTCATGTATACAATTCTATAACACATTGTCTATATTGTATTGTGTTTACTACCCTAAGTCAAGTCTTTTTCCATCACCATTTATCCCCCCATAACCTCTTCAACTTCCTCCCACCAATTTTTTAATAGAGCCATCCTAATAGGGTGAAATGGTTATGTCATTGTGTTTTGATTTGTATTTCCCTAAAATGACTAGTATGTTGAGCATCTTCTTCTTGTGCTTATTGGCCATATGTATATATTCGATGGAGAAATGTCTACTCAAATCCCTTGCCCATTTTCTTACCTGGTGGTCAGGTTAAAATTTTTGTTGTTGTTGTTGAGCTGCAAGAGTTCTTTATATATTCTGATATTAACCTGTTATCAGATACATAATTTGAAAATATTTTCTTCCATTCTGGAGGTTACTTTTCACTCTGTTGATTGTGTCCTTTGATGCACAAAAGATTTTTACTTTGATGTGGTCCAATTTATCTTATTTTCTTTTTCACCTATGCTTTGAGTGTCAAATCCAAGAAACCCTTAATGGTATTAAATCCAATGACATGAAACTTTCCCCTTGTGTTTTTTTCCAATAGTTTTATAGATTTTAGATCTTATATTTAGGTCTTTGATCTATTTTGAGTTCTTTCTGTATATGGCATAAAGTAGGTATGAAGCTTCATTCTTTTGTATGTGAATACCCAATGAACCTGGCACCATTTTTTGAAATCCATTCTTTATTTGTAACACACAAAAATTTGACCAGATACTCTTTAAGTCCCATCTGGCACTTAATGTTCTGGCTATCTCCTTTGTTTTCTTTTTCTTTTTTTTGTTACATAGATTTTAAAAATTTTAATGGCTATTTTAAAGATAAACACTATAATTGAGATATTTATCATTTGTGCTTTGTAACTCTCTTTCTTCCTAATATTTGTAAATTTCACAGGGGTTATAGATTCTTCTCTCTAAAATCTATATAAACCTTTATTTTTTGAGAACCACTTTGCTATTACATTCCATTTCATCCACATTTACCATTTTTGAGTTCTATACATATTAGATCTCTTTGAGTGTACGCTGAATTTCTCATAATAAAACATACTCATTCTTAAGATTTTATTTTTGATTTTCTCAATTAACCAGAGTAAATTTTTCCTGTTAAAAGTTTTTTTTTCAGGAATAATCAAGAGTAGTACATTTTTTGATACCTTCCTTACCTGTGAATGTTTGCTGCCTTTAAACATACAGGGTGTGATGAAAGTAGGTTTATAGTTGTTTGTATGGAAAATAATAGAATAACAAATAAATAATAATAAAAGGTAAAACCGCGTTTCATATACACACAATTGTAAACTTTCTTTTGCCCCACCCTGTGTATGACAGTTTAGCTGGGTTTGGAATTCTTCTGCCATACCATTTTCTCCTCATATTTCTATTAACCTTGCTTTTGTAGAGTCTGGTCTAATGCCAGCCTGGTTTCCGTTCTTTTACATATAAGATGCTTTCTTTTTGTATTTGGGTAGAATCTTTTATCCTATGAATTTGAAAATTTTTCCAAAATGTATACAAGACTCTGTCTGAGACACTCTCTCTTTCTGTCTATAACATAGTGAAGCCTTTTGAACTCCAGAATCATGTTTTGTTTATTTTTCTTAAGGTAGGAAACTATTTTTTATAATCCTTTTTTATACTTTTGATTATTGTTTTTGTTTTATTGAATATTTTCTTCCAGCAATACCTATTATCCGTAGACCATCTCTGTTCTCTTTCTTCCATCCTATTATGCACTCTTTTGTAATTTTGGTTTTCAATGTTTTATTCACCAAGGAATGAGGAGTGCTCTGCTTCGGCCTGGTTTTAATAAACAGACAAGGCTTATTGGGGTGACTGTTGCCTTCTTCCCCATC